CCAGAGGAACTGGTTGGCCCATGTGTGAGACAAGAGGCTGGACTACGTGGACCACTCTTCGCTCGGGAAGGAGGGCTCCAGAGCAAACTGATTCATGCAGCCGCCAAATCGCTCGCTCCCAGCTTTAATGCCAGCGAGCTCACCGAGTAGAATTTCTGCTCACGAGACTCCATGGCTTAGAGGGAGCATCGCTTCCCGGGAGCCAGTAATTGGCTTTCTGGCAAGCCAGCAGATTTCATTTCGACTCTGTCCACCTTGGCTGTGGCTGCCAATTCAGTCTCTGCTGCTTCTGCGCTTATTTCAGGGCTTCACGTGAAGGTGAGAGACGGCGCCTGTAGATGTCGTTCAGTGGATAGATCGGCTAGAGCACCTACTTTGCGTCCAGAAAATCCCGATTCAGTCCCGGGCGTCTCCAGCCCAAAGATCTTGGGTCAGAGGTGCCGGGGAAAATCTCCTGGTGGAGCCTGCATGCAACGGCTGCTCTGACTCCCAATAAAATTACAAAACAACAATGAGTCACACAGTATATATGGAAAGGGGGGAAAGGGGAAAAGAACTGTGTGTGGAGTTAACAATAATTACACTAACCATATTCTGTGGAAAGCAAGATACCGATACGAGTTGTATTGGATTAATCTTGGACTCTGTGAGCCGTGGGAAGAATTTATATTGAATTATTTCTCCTTATGCTGTGAATGGCTCAAGTGGTTAAGACGCTGAATTGCAGGCTGTGGAAGGTCAGCGGTTCAAGACCCGGGTGCCGCAAGACAGGGTGAGCTCCTGTCTCCAGTTCCAGCTCCTGCCAACCTAGCAGTTCGAAAGCAAGAAATTGCAAGTAGATAAATAGGGACCACTTTGGTGGGAAGGTAACAGCGTTCCGTGCGCCTTGGTGTTTAGTCATGCCGGCCACATGACCACGGAAACGTCTTCGGACAGCGCTGGCTCTTCGGCTTTGAAACGGAGATGAGCACCGCAACCCTAGAGTCGGATTCGACTGGCTTTCGAGCAAGGGAACCTTTGCCTTTACCTTTACTATGCTGTGAATGGATTTTGCTGAATGAATTTGTATCGTATGAAGTGTTTGGTTATAAGATGTACAACTGGTTCACTTAAATGTATTATGATTTATTATAAATGAATATTTCTTGTTTTTCACAGAATGTAATTATTGTTAACCCCCCCACAGCTTTCCCCCCCTTTTTTCCTGACCCCCAGTAACGCAGCTGCGTATAATCCACAAGATAGGGATGTTCTTTTGTTAGAATAGAACTACAAAATTGGGAAGAAGAAGAAGAGAAGAAATTGGATTTATACCCCACCCTTCACTTGGCGTCTCAGAGCGGCTTACAAACTCCCTTCCTTTCCGCTCCCCACAACAGACACCCTGTGAGGTGGGTGGGGCTGAGAGAGCTCTGAGAGAACTGCCTTTTCAAGGACAGGTCTGAGAGAACTTGTGACTGACCCAAGGTCACACCAGCCAGGTGCAAGTGGAGGAGGAGTGGGGAATCAAACCCGGTTCCCCCAGGTTAGAGTCCATGCACTTAACCACTAAACCAAACTGTGTAGGGCTCAGAGAACAACAACAGCCCGAGGTGCTCTACGCCACGGCCAGCCCAGCTGGGGTTACAAGATCTCTCATTACCTCCCGAAACTGCTGCCATTTCACCCTTTCAGGGAATCAGCCTTCTGAAAGACAGTCTGAAGTCATAATTTGTAGGTTCTCTTAACTTTGTCAGATTCCCAATTTGGAATCTGACAAAGGATATTATATCCTTTAAAAGGATATTATAACTTTGGAAAAAGTGCAGAAAAGGGCAACTCGAATGATAAAAGGGTTGGAACACTTTCTCTATGAGGAAAGGTTAAGGCGCTTAGGGCTCTTTAGCTTGGAGAAACGGCGACTGAGGGGTGACATGATTGAGGTTTATAAGATTATGCATGGGAAAGAGCAGGTAGAGAAAGATGTACTTTTCTCCCTTTCTCACAATACAAGAACTCGTGGGCACTCCATGAAATTGCTGAGCGGTTGGGTTAGAACGGATAAAAGGAAGTCCTTCTTCACCCAAAGAGAGATTAACACTTGGAATTCACTGCCACAGGAAGTGGTGGCGGCTACAAGCATGGACGGCTTCAAAAGGGAATTGGATAAGCATATGGAGCAGAGGTCCATCAGTGGCTATTAGCCACAAGGTATAGATAGGGGCTCTGGGGCAAGTGATGCTCTGTCATCTTGGTGCTTGGGGGGGGGGGCAACAGTGGGAGGGCTTCTAATGTCCTGGCCCCACTGGTGGACCTCCTGATGGCACTGGTATTTCTGGCCACTGTGTGACACAGAGTGTTGGACTGGATGGGCCTTTGGCCTGATCCAACATTGGCTTCTCTTCTGTTCTTATGTTCTTAGGAATGCCAGGGCTTGGGCAGACATTGGCTAGTGATCTGTATTTCCTTTCCCATGATGCCCTGAAGTTCTGTTAACCAGTTAGATCCTGGGCTGATCCTGTGTCTCGTTTTTGGTGTGGTGGTTTGGTGTCGTGGTTCAGTGCGCAGGCTCTAATCTGGGCGAACCGGGGTTTGATTCCCCACTCCTCCGCTCGCAGCTGCTGGATGACCTTGGGCAAGCCGTAGTTCTCTCAGAGCTGTTCTCCCGAGGGCAGTTCTCTCAGAGCTCTCTCAGCCCCACCGACCTCCCAGGCAGTTCCCTCTAAGCTGAGTGAGTGTGAGCTAGCTCACCGTTTTTTTAGCCTCCGGCTCACACATTTTTGCCTTGGCTCAGGAAGGAGGGCTCCAGAGCAAACTAATTCATGCAGTAGCCAAATCGCTCGCTCACAATGCAGAATTTTTGCTCACAAGACTCCACAGCTTAGAGGGAGCATTGCTCACAGGGTGTCTGTTGTGGGGAGGGGAAGGGAAAGGAGTCTGTAAGCCGCTCTGAGACTCCGAGTGAAGGGCGGGGTATAAATCCAATCTCTCCTCTTCTTCCAGCTCCTAGAGCCGTTTTTTCAAAGAAGCAGAAAGTTTCATCTACTAAGGACGGATTAGGGAGAAGGTCCAACAGACAACACGCCTCCTCCTCCTCCTCCTCTAGACTCATATTTTCTTCCTCTTGTTATTTCCTTGTTGCTTTCTCTTACATGGACCGCCCCTGGCTTTCTGCAATCCAAATCTTATGCACACGGGCATCCTGATGTGTTGTTCTTGCGCTGCAGTTGATTTCCATGGTGACGGTTAATAAACCTTTCTTGGTCTTAAAGGTGCCGCTGGATTCTAAATTTCTTCTTATGCATCTCAGCTTATCTTGAAGAGTCGAGAAGTCACAGATTTCCCAACAAGAAGGTCAAATTCACTTTAAAAAAAAAAGCACACCGAGTTAAAATAAAATAAAATTGCCAATAAGATACCCTAGGAAAGAATAACCCATATCCAGCCTCTCTAAGATATCTAGCGGAAAGCCTGCCCCCCCTGCCCCCCCCGGGAAAGAGCTAAGAACTATTACATGACGAGACAACTGCATTTGAAAGTCATTTTATCTAATCTCAAGGCAACTGGCTACATGTCCAGTCCAATACTCCCTCTAAGCTGTGGAGCCTTGTGAGCAAGAATTCTACTTTGTGAGCTCCTGGCCTTAAAGTTGTGAGCGAGCGGTTTGGCCGCTGCGTAAATTAGTTTGCTCTGGAGCCCTCCTTCCTGAGCCAAGGCAAAAATGTGTGAGCCAGAGGCTAAAAAACGGTGAGCTGGCTCACACTCACTCAGCTTAGAGGGAACACTGGTCTCCGGCCCAAGTGAGTGCATCGTTCTACCGGAGGAGACACATCCGCCATTTGGACTGGACGCCTTGGTCACCTGCCTCCTCAGCGGTTCTGTGGAAGCAATGCCCCTGCTTTATGTCCTCACCGTATGCACCAGATTGCGGGGCCTTCCACAGGTCACCCTCTAGAATGAACATAAGAACATAACAATGTTGGATCCGGCCAAAGGCCCATCCAGTCCAACACTCTGTGTCACACAGTGGCCAGAAATACCAGGTGCCCTCAGGAGGTCCACCAGGATCTAACTGGTTAACAGAATGGATCCGACACCCTCGGCGTCAAGGGCTCTGGACCGACCACTGGTTCCGACTTGGTGCCCCCCTCCCACCTCAGCAGCAACAGAATTCAAGAACGGAGTGGGGGCGGCAGGAGGTGATGTGAAAGATTGAAGTCCTGGAGAGCCGCTGCCAGTTGAAGTAGGCGATGTTGCCCTGGACGGACCGAGGGTCTGATTCAGTATGAGGCAGCTTCCTTTCCATTCACCTGGTGTGGCGTCCTCGCTTATTGGGGAGACTGTTTCTCCTTTAAAAACCACTCTGTGTATGTGAACGTAGTAGTTTTCTGCTGCCACCAGGAATTAAAAATTCCAACTCTATTTTGGTAGAATGACCCAGTGTCTGGTCGCTTCAGAGGGCTCTGTGGCCCTGAGGAAGGACTGTTCTAATTGCTGGGATAAGTTTAAACACATAATGATTTACTTATAAAAAACAAAATAGGTTTCTGGGTATTTTTGAACGGTTGTTGAAGAAAGAAAATATAACTGATAAAGCTTGGCATCACACACAGTCTCTCATACACCAAAACTCAAGTCTGACAGGTTTAGACACTCAGTCTAAACTCTCTTTCTCATAGCCACACAGGCTAAACTTTCTCTCTCGTAGCCACACAGGCTAAACTTTCTCTCTCGTAGACAGGCTAAACTTTCTCTCTCGTATCCACACAGGCTAAACTTTCTCTCTCATAGCCACACAGGCTAACTTCTCTCCACACTCGTCTCTTCAAGAACACAGAATCGCCTCAGCGATCTCTCTCCTGCCACACTCTCAGTCATCAGCCAATCACATCACACTTATCTCCCTCTATCACTCTCCTTGCATTACTGCAGTCCCACTAAACATTTAAAGAAACACACATGCCAAAACATGAAATCATTACACATGGGCATCCTGATATTGTGTTGTTCTTGGTCCGCAGATGATTTCCATGGTGATGGTGGCGGTGGGAATCTACGCCCGGCTGATGAAGCATGCAGGTAAAGGGGCCCGCATCAGTCCTCTCAGGTGGGTGAGTGGTTTCGGCCCTACGACCTGAGGGGTATGCAAGCTGAGGGGGTCCCAGACTCAAAGGAATGACAGCGACCCCTTCAGTGAAGCTGGAAAAAGTACGGAGGAGGGCAACCAAGATGATTCCGGGGTGGGAGCACATTCCCTAGGAGGAAAGATTGAGGAGTTGGGGGCTTTTCAGTGTAGAAAAGTGACAAGTAACAACATTTATGAAACTATACATGGGATGGAGAGAGTTGACACAGAGAACTTTTTCTCCCTCTCCCAAAAGGCTAGAACTCGAGGACATCCAATGAAGCTGATGGGCAGTAGGTTCAGGATGGGCAAAAGGAAAGACTACTTTACACACAGAGAGATTAAAATGTGGGATTCGCTGCCAGAGGGGGTAGTGATGGCCACAGGAATAAGCATCTTTAAATGGGGATTAGATCGATTCATGGAGGATCAGTCTATCAATGGCTACTAGCTATAGGGAACCACATTCTGCAGCACTGAACCTCTGAATCCCAGAGCCAGGAGGCAACATCTGGAAAGGCCTCGGCCTCTGTGCCCTGTGGTTAGCGGTCCAGAGGAACTGGTCTTTATGAGATTTCTAAAGATAGATTAGATAGAATTTTTTCTTTCTGTGGCTTGGATTGCCACCGTTCTTCCTCTGGGGCTAAACATTTCCCTTCTGGTGTCATCCGACAAACTTTCAAGGGAATGAGAACATAAGAACACCAAGAAGAGCCCTGCTGGATCAGACCAGGGGTCCATCTAGTCCAGCATCCTGTCCCACTTAGTGATCAACCAATTCCTCTGGAAGGCCAACAACAGGGCAGAGAGGCCGAGGCCTTCATAAGAAGAGCCCTGCTGGATCAGACCAGTGAGGGTCCATCTAGTCCAGCACTCCAACAATACCAGAGTCAGAACCCTCTCAGAGTGGCATAGACAACAGACGGCATAGACGGCTCACACATTTTTTGACTTCGCTTAGGAAGCAGGGCTCCGGAGCAAACTGATTTATGCAGCGGCCAAACCGCTCGCTCACAACTTGGTAGCCATGGATTATTTATTTATTTATTTATTATGAGATTTATACCCCGACCTTCCAGCCAGAGCCGGGGATAAAACGTATCCTCCATGACTCTTGTCTCATCCCCTTTTAAGGTTGTGTATCCCTGTGGCCATCACGACACCCCCTGGCAGCGAATCCCCACATTTTCATCCCTCTCAGACTAGCCCACATCACAGGGGTTGATGTGGGGACAAAATGGAGAAGAGGCCGATGTCAGCTGCTTTGTGTCCCCGCTGGGGAGAAGGATGGGGAAATACACGCCTTAGACCAAAAAAATATATATATCAAATTACTTAAAGATCCCTCTCTTTGTTTGCAGAGGCGGCCATGGCTTGTCTTGCCGTCGACCCGGCCATCCTCCTCATCGTGGTGGGTGTCCTGATGTTCTTCATCACCTTCTGCGGTTGCATCGGCTCTCTGCGCGAGAACATTTGCCTGCTGCAGACGGTGAGGGTGCCCCTGGGATTACCCCCTGGAGCTACGTGGGGGAGTCAGGGAGAGGACAGGGGGGCACGGGGACCCCTTGTCATGATCTGGGCTGTGCCACCAGAGGCCTACTAGGCCCAGGGACCCTGGCTAGCAGTAGGTGAGGCTGGGCCGACAACTCCCAGAAGCCCGTGAGAGGTTTTGGAGCCAAAATTGACCAATAGGAAAAGAGGAGGGCTTGGAATAAAAGATTTGGAGCAGCAGGAAAAGCTGTTTTTCTTCCCAGAGGGCAAAGCCAGAAGGAAGGCTGGTGCAGGGGACAGACCCTCATCCTGAGGGAAAGGTAAGTAGTCTAGTGCCACTGCAGATAGTGAGCTAGGGACCGTATATATTTAAACGCGTTAGGGCATTTGATTCCTTTTCTTTTCACCGCACTTACTGTTATTATTCTGCACCTTGTTGTTTGACCTCCGATAAAATAAACCTTTTCCTTTTTATACTCTGCCTGGTCCTCACACCTATTATTCGGCCAAAAGGGAGGTCTGAAGGTCTTGGGAGGGTGCTCTGGGCCTTCTCAAGGGATCCTAAATCCAGAGTGGTGGCAGCGTCAGGTGACCCCCCACCTGAGCCATGACACCCCTCCTGAAGCCCTGGAGGAGAGCCTGGGGGCTGGGACCCTCCCAACTCCTAGAAGTGGGTCTGTCTCACATGAAGCTGCCTTCTACTGAATACCTGGAGTCTTTTTTTAAAAAAAAACCAACAATTTTATTAGGATATATCAATAAGTCAAACTATACATCATCTTACAAACTATCTTATATCCTTTTCTCCTAGTATCCCCCCCTTTCTGACTTCCCGCAGTGCTCCAATCTCCAACTCTTAAATTTTCCCGTCTTTTTTCCCCCTTCTTCAATAATAAAATTCTTCAGATAACATAACCATTAACTTTTGTTCTTATATATTTAAACTTATTCTAAATGTCCTTCTATCTTCAATAATTATCAAAGCAAAATAGATGATTTTTCGCATCATATCCCAATATTTCTCTAAATATTCTTTAAGGTCTTTCCAGTCTGCAAAGAATTCTTCTGCTTCTTGATTCTTAAGCTTTCACCAAGCAGGCGCTCTGCCACTGAGCCACGGCCTCTCTCTACAGCTCTCCAGGGTCTCAGGCGGAGGTCTTTCCCGTCACCTCCTGCCTGGTCCTTTTTAGCTGGAGATGCCGGGGATTGAACCTGGGACCTTCTGCATGCCGAGCAGAGGCTCTGCCACTGAGCCACGGCCCCTCTTTACAGCTCTCCAGGTCTCAGGTGGAGGTCTTTCCCATCACCTCCTGCCTGGTCCTTTTTAGGTGGAGATGCCGGGGATTGAACCCGGGACCTTCTGCATGCCAAGCAAAGGCTCTGCCACTGAGCCACGGCCCCTGAGACTTGTTGGGGTTTTTTTCCTCAAAAGAACATTCATGCCCCTTTTTAGCCAGGTGCTGGAACATGATGCCTCTCAGCTTTTGGGAAGGAAAATCCATCCAGCCGGTGGGAGTCTGCATGGGGAAACCTTGGAGTCAGTTTTCCAGCTTGTATGCCTGGGGTACGGGGTAGCTGATTTGGCGATGGTTTCCAGAGATCTAATAGGGTTGGTCTAGCCTGGGCTACCCAGGTCAGGGCAAAATATGCACTGCAAGAAAATACTCTCTTGGATCCAGGCTTGATTATGTGTAATGGTCATTCTCTTCTTGTTGAAACTGGTTCTTCTTTTTTTCTTCAAAAACAATTTATTAGGATATAATAAAAAAAAATCAAACATATATCAAAACTTATACAATTATATATCCTTCCCTCATAGCCTTCCCTCCTCCCTTCCCCCTCCCCTTCTCGGCTTCCCACAGTGCTCCAACCTCCAGCCCAATTCTTGAATTTTCTCCATGACTCCCTTTCTCCTTATTCACATCCACAGGTAACTTATCCTTCAGCTGTTATTCTTATACATTTATCTATTTTCTACTATCCTTTAATTTTCAATAGATTTCAAAGCAAAGTAACTTGTCCTTTACATCCCAGTATTTCTCCAAATAATCTTTAAAGTCTTTCCAGTCTGCAAAAAATTCTTCTGCTTCCAAATTATTAAGTTCCCTTGTCATTTTGTCCATTTCAGCCATAAAAAGTAATTTTTTAATCCATTCCCCTATTTCAGGGACCTTATCTTGTTTCCAACATTGAGCATACGTCATTCTGGCAGTCGTGATCATATACCACATCAATGTCCTTTTTGCCATATTGACTTCTTCCATTTTAAGTCCCAAAAGTAATATTTCCAGTTCTTTCTTGAACTTACATTTCACAATTTTTTCCATTTCTGCATGTATCTCAGCCCAAAACATTTTTGCTTTTTCACATGTCCACCACATATGATAACAGAAGCCCTCCGCATTCTTACATTTCCAACATTTGTTTGACATATTACTATTCATATCTGCAATCTTTTTTGGTGTCATATACCATCTATACATCATCTTATAACAATTTTCTTTAAAATTATTACACGTTGATATTTTCATTGCATTTTCCATAGATATTCCCAAGATGACATCAATATTTCTTTATTCATGTTAACCGCCCATTTTATCATCTGCTCTCTAACTATCTCATCCTCTGTATACCATTTTAGCAATACCTTATACATTTTTGAAATAATTTTTTTCCTCCCTCAAACCACACATTCTCAATATCATTATATTTTTTCCTAAACCCAAAAGCTTTTTTGTTTTCTTTAAACAAATCATTAATCTGTCTATATTGCAACCAACCATATTTAAAAGCCAAATACTCTTCCATTTTCATTTCAAATGTTTTTCCCACTGGTTTCAGCATGTCTCTATATTGTACCCAATCTTCTCCTTTATATGTCAAAAATGGTTTTATAACCTCTGCCGGTACAATCCAAAGTGGTCTCAAAAACTGGTTCTTATGGTCTTGTCATCTGCAGGAACAGATTCCTCTCTTCGTACATGTGGATCTTTGGGTTCTGCACAGAAGTGCGATGGGCCAAGTATGCAACACCACCGCCCCCCTCGCTTTTGTGTTGTCTTGGCCACGCTATTATGCCAGAGACCATAGGGAACCCTTAGTGTAGAAATATAGCCACAAAGAGAACCCTGGATTCCATTGACGCTTTTGAGCTGTGCCTGTGTTATTTTGGAAATCGGGTTCTGCTTACCAGCCGCTCTCGAAGACCGTTGAAACGCTTGATTTATACCTGGGAGAGGCGTTGGGCTGTTATTCTTTCCACAGTGGGACTCTTCTGTTGCAGTTACTTTCTGTTTGGAGGTCTAGGGACACTATCTATGCATGGAATGATGGACGAGCCTCCTGTGGGGGGGGGGTGTTGTTTTTTTGCCTCCCGAAGGGGAATTTTTTATTTTTTTTTGCATTTTCTGCACACTGCAATTATGGGATGGGGGAAGGGATACTAATACCCTAACACTATTACTATGGGTGATGGGTAAAGGAGATCTACTTTCTGTTTGGAGATCTGTGGACACTATCTATGTATGGAATTACAGACGAGCCTGCTGTTGGTTTGGTGTCGTGGTTAAGTGAGCGGACTCTAATCTGGGAGAACCGGGTTTGATTCCCCACTCCTCCACTTGCACCTGCTGGATGACCTTGGGCAAGCCGTAGCTCTGATAAGAGCTGTCCTTGAAAAAGAGCAGATTCTGTCAGAGCTCTCTCAGCCTCACCTACCGCACAGGGTGTCTGTTGTGGGGAAAGGAAGGGAAAAGAGTTTGTAAGCTGCTCTGAGACTCCCTTGGGTAGTGAAGGGCGGGGTATAAATCCAATCTCTTCTTCTTTTTCTTCTTTTGAATATGTTTTTTGTTTAAACAATGTTTAATTGTTATGAGCAATCTGTTGGATCTATGTCTATGCACTCTATTGGGTTGTGACCACCAGGGGTCATTTCGTAGAAAAAGAGGTGCAGGAGCTCATTAGCATAACTTATTTGCATATGCCACACCCCCTGACATCACCAGAAGTGTGTCAGTAGGCAACACCCACCGCTCAAGCTCCACTGGACTCTTTGAATTGCTAGATATGGGAGACACAGATGCAGATCTGCCCTCACAGAGGAGGGAGAGCTTGTACCTGAATAAATCTTGGCCTTAAAGGTGCCACTGGGCTGGTTTTGGATTGCTATCTGGGGGGGGGGCCGCTTTGTAACGTACCTGGCTGCTTCTTGCTCCTTGTGGCCCGGGGCTGCTGGGAGCAGGGGGTGGGGCTTGTTGCATGTGCCCACCCCCAGGGCTCTTTACTGCCGGAGCTCCGCTCCTGTGCGCTCCTGCAGGAAATGACCCCTGGGACCACTAACCCTTCTTTGTATTTCAATGAATATAATATATAGTATTGAACATAGTTGTGGATTGTAGATGGTCTTCTCTTGGCCACACTGTCGGCAGAGGCTTTTCCCTCTTTGCCCGGGTCCTCGCATCTCTGCCAACTGAGAAAGCAGCAGAAGCTCGCACTGCGGTAAAAGTGTTACACTTTCAGGTGCGACAGGGTGTTGTCTGTTGGCCTGTAATCTCCACCTTGTTGGCACTGCTGCCAAAACAAACAGGGCCAAGAGCCAGTGAGCAGCTCAGAGGTACCATTTGTGGGTGTTGTCTGTTTTGGTGCTGGGAATTGACCTCCGGCCCTCGTTGCTGCCTCTCTCTGCTCTGTGGCTGATTCTCTCCCTCTCTCTCCCCCCTGCAGTTCTCGGTCTGCCTAACGGTCATCTTCTTGCTCCAGCTGGTGGCCGGCGTCCTGGGCTTTGTCTTCTCCGACAAGGTGCGAAGGGAGGGCGTGTAAGGTGAAGCACACTGGGACCAAAACTGCCAACTTCAAGTATAGGTCAATGGGGGTCTGAGACTGAGAGGGGAAAAGATCTTGAGGTCGTAGCAGAGCCGAATGAAAGCGGCAGCGGTGAAAAAGGCAAACTCTGTGTTAGAGCTGATTAGGAAAGGGACTGGGAATGAAAAGGACAATATTGTAATTCCCCTGTATAGATCGACGGTGCGGCCTCATTGGGAATAGCCAATTTGGTGCAGTGGTTAAGTGTAGTGGTTAAGAGCCAGTTTGGTGTCGTGGTGAAGTGCGCGGACTCTGATCTGGGAGAACCGGGTAGAATGAAAAGGCCAATATTGTAATTCCCCTGTATAGATCGACGGTGCGGCCTCATTGGGAATAGCCAGTTTGGTGTGGTGGTTAAGTGTAGTGGTTAAGAGCCAGTTTGGTGTCGTGGTGAAGTGCGCGGACTCTGATCTGGGAGAACCGGGTTTGATTCCCCACTCCTCCGCTTGCACCTGGCTGGATGACCTTGGGGAAGCCGTAGTTCTGATAAGAGCTGTCTTTGAAAAACAGCCGTTT